ATATATATATATATATATATATATATATGAAGGATATTTGTTTAAAATCGAGGACGACTGTGACATCAGAACAATCCGACGTGTTTGTAATAAAAGAATTTTATTTAGTTAAAATTGTCACGTACTCGTGTTTTACATTCGACTCTTAACTAAATGTTTCCTCCTCGTCTAGAAGTCTAAGAAGACGTTGATCGTCCATCTTTCGTCCGTGTTATTTGTCATTATAGTATATACTCTATTTAACTATCCACTTCATGCGATATGCGAGCAAACACGTGTCACTTAACGTTTCTATCGCACGTACATACTCTGCGCAAGTACGAATACAACAGACGTTGTACAGCTCTTAGTGCTCTTTAATAAATGTATCCACCGTTGGCGTCCGTCGGTTGAACGTACTCGTGGGCCGACGTAACGGCACTCTTCACCAAGTTGTCGCTACGCAACAACGAATCGTCGACGTTGATAGTTTGCTGGTTGTAAGTGTCAGTCAACGAAATACGGGATGGATTGGGTATCTCGATTGGCGATCGAGCTGTGGTTGTCGAGCCTAGAGAGCCCAGGGACCCTAGAGAGCCTAGGGAGCCCAGGGAGGGGAAAGATGGAAAATACGATGGCAACGAGACGTTCAGTTTCTGGAAGAAATCGTTTATCGGTCCCCTCAGTGGCTGCGTCTGGGCGTGACCTTGAACCACCTGCGTCGCCGTATCGTCGCGAGACTTCACCGTTTCTGACGCTGACACCGACTTCACTGGACGCACCGTCGTTGACACGGTTTGCACGGGATGTACAGCGTGTTCGATCGGCGTGTTCAGAGCCTTCACCACGGATTGTACGGTGTGTCCTTGAACCGGCCTGGTACGCACCAGCTGCACGGACGATAGAGGCTGCAACGGGGGAAGAGATCCTACCAAGGCGACAGATGGTAAAGAGTACAACGTGTTCACGGGCTGTGTACGTTGCACCACGTGTACCAGCGGACGTGTATGGAGCTGATAGGTTGTAGGAAATTCGACAGAAGATTGCGGGAAGGAGTACGTGTTTGGCACCTTTTTGCTGACTTGAAGAGTCAGCGAGAGAGGTAAAGGAACGTCTAGGTTGACACCCTGATCCACAGACGTCAAGGGATTAATTCCGCTGTATCCGACGGGGACGACGTCAAAGGGATTGAATCTCTCGGCTGAATAAAGAGTCGAAGGGACGTGAGAAGAAACGTCGTAGCTCTCAGTCAGCAAGTCTCCACCAACCACGTCCTTCTTTACGGTGGTCTGCACACCAGTGGCAAGACGCGTGACCTCTGCAACGAAAACATTCCAATTATTTCACTGATTTATCGCGATGTTTCGAAATACGTCAGACGTCACCTGAAATATATCGTCTCGGCACACACGTTCAACTTTACAAAATATACAGCGAAGAGTATAACAGTATCAATGACAATGACACATTGTCGATAATTTAAACTGATGTAGGATCATATAGCAATTCACTTGGTCTCATTAAAAAAAAAAAAAAAAAAAGCGAAGCTTCTGTTTCGATAGTTGCGAGTTCGTTTCTTTCGAAGATGATCCTCACGTCACATCGTATTAATAAGATTCCTACCTTTTACGGCAGCTGGTGGAGATACCTGGTCGTAAACCTCGGCCTCTCTCACCGTGGAGGTGGCTCCGATTCCTACCGTACTCTGGAAAAATTTCACACGAAATATCGCACATTGTGAAAAATCGAGTGTCAAGACAAATGTCGAGTGTCAAAACTCTAGGAAATGTCGCCATGTGCGCACGTACCTTGGTGGTTTTGCTCGCGGGAGTTTCGTATGAAGTTAAAGGCGGTGTAACGCTTACCGTCTACAAGTACGAAATCAGAATGAGATAAATTAATTAACAACGCCACATTTTGCCAGAGTCGAACGAAGGTTTTATACAGAAAGTACGTACCGTATCGACTCGTTCAACGGGTACCGCGCCAGTTGATACCGATCTTTCTGGTCCCGCGTAAGTATCGATCACTCGAGAAATCTAAATAGAAACATAATTTATTCTCTGACTGGAACGCATTCTATAGATCGATTATGATCTTCTACGATCGATTATGTTTATTTCAGTTACTTGGATGGTATCGGGAACTCCGTAAGAGTTCGATACTGATTGTCTACCGACGTCGTCAAGCGGTAACAAATACTGGTTGTTTAAGGCAACACTCGATTGAGATCCATAAGTATTCTGCGGTACCTCCGCGTAAACGTCACCGACAGATTTTACTACGTCTTCTACTACACTCTCGTGACGATGATGATGATGATGATGATGATGATTATTGGCTTCGTCGTATCGTGGATCACCAGGTAGAACATCCCTCTTTTGCTTCGGCAGCGACAAAGCCGAAGAGGCCGCCAAGCAAGTCTGGAACATTTTTAAATCACGTAATACACTGCCTGTTTTATTTTATTTTATCTTTTTTTTTTTTTTTCAAATTTCACAGAATACCGAAACGATCATTCGTCGGTTTTAAAACTTTGAGCAAATACAAATGATAAGTTCGACAATCGGAATTATTTCTCTCGCTGACGCGACAAAAATGTAACGTGTAAATGATGGAACAATATGGGTACATTCTATTCGATAACCGATTTCCACGAATGATGACGTTCAATGATACTTGAACGGAGCGATAAAAAAGAGTGAAATCCTTACCAGAGTGACGAACACGAACCTCATGCTGGCCGTACGGGGCTTGAACGAGGAATCCAGTGTCATCCCAAAGATATTTCGACCTTTTATACTCGGCCGATGCTCCCTCCAACCTATTTCGCAATCGGATGGCATTGGAAGAACTAGATTTTTTTAATTGACTTCTCTGAGAGAGGGCCCGTGTCAGGTAGACGATCGCCGTGGACAAAATATCTCGCCGAAAATAAATCCTCCGTTGTGTCGGTGAGACGCGAGACGGCGGATTCAATTCCGAAACCGAATTCCATCTTTGTTTTGGCATTTGGATGGTTCTCTTCCCCTCGTTTTTACGCGCCATACACTCGACGATATAACGGAGAATGATTTATGCAAATCTCAACATCTTTGATCTTTCGACTTTTTCCTTTTCGTTCTTTTTCTCATTTATTTTGCTCTCGTCGACATTCCGTGAGCGCGTGCACGAAGCTTTCTTCAAGGATTCAGATAACTTTTCTAATACATTTAATGGTCTATCAACTCGTTTGATCTCGTTGACCAAGCGTTCACCTTGCATTTTCATATAGATTATGTTTGATGTCATGACTATAACTTTCCAAATGCAAACGACGCATTATTTATCCATTATTTTATTTCCTTCCTCTTTTCTTTGCAAAAAGCAAATGAGTTCTATTCGTGGAATTTGAAAAATAAAAAAAACAAAAAAACTCAGGCGATAAAATGAATTTCGTAATCGTTTTGCCATCGTCGAGCTGATCTTACGTAAGATTGACCGTGCTGCATTAATTTTTAACTTTTAACGAGTTTGCAAAAAAATCTGTCCGTCTAAAAGAAATTTGCATCTAATTATTTATTTAAATTAATGGAGATTCTTTCTCTCTCACCGATTTCTAGAAAAAGCCCCGGTGTTCTTTAAAAAAAATGTTTGTAAAACGCGCGATTGAACGGTCGAGCGAACCGAAAATTCAAAATTAATATAATAGATCAAAAATTGCAATCTTATGAATTTGATGACGTTCAATATTATATCATATTATATCCTGATTTATACGATATTTATACGTTTACCTGTTGTTCAACTTATAACTCGGGAAATTTCATGTTGTATTCTCGATTCGTTTGATGCAACTGTAACAATGCAAGTGTAATTTCTTGTGGATTGTCGTGTCCAAACTCGATTGAATTTTTTTACCCAAGTGGCATACTGGTTCCACCTATTGTTAAAAGTTGAAACTAGTCTCGAAGAATATGAAACATCACCTGCTCGTAGATTTCTTTCAAATCGGACAGACAGACTGGTAGCAAGATTCCTGATTCTTCGAGTTGTTCGTTTCGAAACATTTCACTAAAGCTAAAAACTGGGCAAGGGAACTTCTCTGCAATTTTCGCGAATAATAATTCTAAAGATATATTTCTGCTCCGAGTCTGCAAGTATTTATTACATTATTATTACTACATTATTATTATTTTACTACATTATTATTACATTATTATTTATTACATTGTTACATTATTATTACGTACATTTAATTACAATGCTTCGTTATTTGACGTAAGAAAGAAAAATAAAAAGCAGAATAAGTTTTCTAATACTTCAAGTAATAGAGTAGACTCGACGTAATAAATATTTCAACTATTTCTCTCATTCCTGATCTTTTAGAATTCTGAAGGACGTCATTTACCATACGATTGGATTCGTCTTGACAGCTGCTTTTATATGACAAACAAACAAATAAAGGAAAAAAGCATTCTATATAGAAAATTAAAGGTCACCTTAATTTTGTGAAAAATAGTGCAACATAAAAAATTGTTATATCGGTCGTAGTTTAGTACTTTGTCCTCTGCCATTTTTTTCTCTTGCTTACCATTTCTGAAGGAAAATAACGCAAACACTCTGCGTATTATTAGAGCGCTTTTTCATACTGCACAAAATTTTATTTCATTCAATATATTGATACATTTTTAATCTATAATATAATATAATTTAATAATTAAACCTAACCTAACCTGAACCTAACCTAGACCTAGAATATAGGTTATAACATAACTATTTATATATATATATATA